CCATGCCCTTTGCTTTTTGCCTGGTCCCTGTTGGTGGCGTGGCTCGCTCTTGGAGAACAACGCGGGCTCAAGAATAAGCGTTGCTGTAGGCGACGGAGAAATACTGCATTTGTGGTTAGTCAACACTTCTGATTTTACAGATAATCCAATCAAGTGGAGGTTTTTAAAGTTATATATAATAAGCACATTTATTATTATAACTAATAAGTACACTCAGGCAGGGACTATTATTACAGCTAGTCACCACCCTTAAGTTGGATGTTTATTTATACAATTGAAGATGTATGAAAGTGGACACATAAGTATTTTGCAAAAGTATTTTTCTGGATATAGTGCTAAATTAGTACAGACCCTTACTTTCCTCTCTCTGTCTTTCCCTCCCTCCCTTCCTTCTTTCCTCTCTTTTCAAATAACTTTTTGGTAATACCTTTTCCCACAACATGCCAAAGATGGTCAGTGCCTCTCCGGGACCACCAAAAAGATTTACTGCTTTGTTGAAAGCAGTTCCCTTCTCTTTCTCGTTTATTCAGGCAAAAATGATGCACTGAACCATGGCAGAAGCTTCATAATTGATCTTCCTGCTTCTTAGCCCTCCAAAAAATGGGAAAAGCAGTCTTTTCAAAATGGAATCCTTATCCTGCGTTACAGTGCTTACAGGCTTTGGGTGGTTCCTCTTCCCTGTTTCAGCCCAGTCCATGCTCAGGATGACGCACTCACAGCTCTTGATCACAGCCTGGCCTCTGTTTTGCCACTGTTCCCCCCTGGGCCACCCTGCAATCTCCCCTCCCTAAGGCCTCTCCATCCTCCCTGCACGAATCTCCTGCCCCCTCCTTATGTTGGGCATGTGCTATAAACTCTGCCTGGACCACTTCTGTTCAGTCTTCAAGGCATAGCTGCCTGCTCCCTCCGTCTTTCTGAGTCCCTTTATAAGTCCATTGGGGTTCTGATTTCTTCCCCAACTGAGGATTCCTTGGGGCATAATGTCTGTAGCTTCTGTGCCTGCACAGTGCCTGGCCCTGCAGAGAGTCCTTTCTGATTGTTTGAATGAGTGAGTTGCTAGTTTCAGTCTCAAATTTGGAGCTGACATAGTTCTGGCGATGCAGGAACACGGGGATCCCTGGGTTGACCAGAAGTCTAAGGCTGGTCTCCTTGGAGGGCACCCATGGCTGATGCTGAGAAGGAAGTCGTGGGATGTAAGGTGAGAGCATTCCACATGGCCTCCCCTGTGGCTGAGCTAGGTGCTTCAAGTGGCCTTTTCATTCCCAGCCATTTACTAGAAGGAGGCCTCACATGGGGGCCGGGGTGGGTGTGTAATTCACGTCCCACACCAAACGAGCCCATAAGTATTGGTGACCCCTGTCCATACTTGACCCTAAGAGATGGCTTCTCTTGCCTGACAGCAACACCTGCTGTCACTTGACCCTTTTAATTTTGCTCCCTAAGCGTCATTGAGGTGGTGGGTATTTCAAAGGAAAAAGATAAAAAGAGAATAAATTCCAACCCTATTTTCCCATCCTAAAAATTCAGTCCCACCCTCGTGAGTGAGCCCTCAGCCACTGTGTCCTGGGGAGGGGCTGGCTGTCGAGTCCTCCAGCTGGCTATCCTGCTGGTCTCCTGGGCCGACGGCCTTGCCAGGTCCCTGTTGTTGGCTCCTGTCTGACAGGAGCAGTAGCAAGACGGAACTTGGTCTCTGGAAACCCTGAGTGACGTAATCTTCTGCCTGCTTTCTAATGATGTGCAAATGGGTGGTTCTGGGATTTTATGTCTTCCCCACCCCCTGGTTAAAAAGCTGACTGTCGGCTCCAGCCTCCTGCACAACAGTGCAGGTCCTGAGCACCACGGCCCCTTCCTTTGCCTCTGAACCCACCTCCTGCCCAGACCCCACCATCCCACCCTTGTCCTTGGACGTGCAGTCCAAGTGAGACCTTAAGAGCCTCCAGGTCAGAAAAACTTATCTTCAATCTTCTTTATGCTTCCAGCCCCTAAGCTACACAGAGTGGCAGCGTGTAGTTATTTGTTAAACCGAGTAGAGCTTGTCACCACCCCTGCTCTCCATTCGGGTGACCAGTTAGTTGGCTGCCAGGAGCCCGGCCCTCGCTCTGTGCACACTGTCCCTCCAGAGCGCAGAGTGAGCTGGGCTCCAGGAGACTCTTACCATTATTCCAGCCATTCTGTTAGTTAGGAAGGCCTTTCTCAGGACCTCCAAGAGCCTTACTCATCATTTACAATAATAGCAACTAACGTCTAACAAGAACCGTGAACCATGTGCTAAAGGAAATGATCTCAGTGAATCCTGAGACCAACTCCAAGTGACGGCAGTGCTGTCACCCCCTCCGTACAGATGAGCACACTAAGGCTTGGGGGAGTTAAGTGACTTGTTTATGGTCACAGTGCTGATCATGTGTTTCATCGATTGTAGGATTTACAGTTTTTCATGTATAAGGTCTGGGCAGTGGGTGTGCATCTCCGGTGGGTGGGGCCTCTGGCCCCCGTGAGCCTGCAGGTGGCAGTCATGCGGCAGACTTGTCGTCGTCTGTGTGAACCTGGACCCATACTGTCCTCATGTCACTTCCTCTGTGTGTGTCCTTGTTACTCTCCATCAGTGGTTTAGTTGCCAATAGGTTTGTTTTGAAAATAGAGTAAACACGGCAGCCAAGTGTTAGAATTCACTTGTAAACTCCACTCTCAGCGCTGAAGAGAAAAACCTTGTGGAAATCAGGCAGCCCAGTAACAGAGCCAGGGGTGTCCGTGTAACATCAGTGGGGCGAGTATTTATCATGGTGAGGGGGGTAGTAACTGCACTTACATATTTTCTCACCGAGAGAAACAGTTATTTGGAAAGAAAGATACCACAAAAAGATAAGGCTGTGTTTGAGCCTTGTTGTCAAGATTCGTGCAGAGCAAACCGACTACCTGTCCTGAGTGAAGGCCGGACACGGTGCCAGTTCTCTTTGGAGAGATAAAGCAGTCGGAGGCCCTGTGCGTGCTCCAAGGGTGTTGGGACTGCTGCTAAGGCAGGTGTCATCGTTTAAATGCAAGTGTTTTTTGCCGCTGGTAATAAAATAATGATGCGTCTTAATCACTGAAGTCTTGGATTTGATGAAATCCTTTAAGTGGCTGATCTAGTTTCAAACCCAAGCAGCCCAGCTCCAGAATTTCACCGATATCCGCTCCCCTCCCGGCTCTCCTCAGCTTTACGGGAAAACATTTGCAGGGTGTAAAGGGGTTTATAAATCAATTTTTAGGACGTAGCTTGGTTGATCGTGAGAGCATGACCCCTTTACTGGATGCTGGGTGTCGTATTTAAAGAAGACTCTCTTGCAACTCCCAGTGCTTTGTGACTTGAGTTAAAATATGTATTTTTGCCATGTTACAATTTATCATCCAATTGACCCACCAGACGGCGAGTTGTTCTGTTTGATTTCATTCCTGACAGGGTATTCAGGAAGTGCTTCCTATCAACAAGATGACCACAAATCCTGGGGTTGGTGGAGGTATCCCCCCGTCCTCTAGTTTAAAGCTGAGAGAGAGCAGCACAAGTGCCAGACAAATGGGGATTAAAATGCTGGAATTGGGATAAATACCCCATCAGAAGTCACAGTTCAGGTGGATGTCCACGTAGAATTGCCAACAGGTCACCCCTGCATTTTCCAGACTTTCCACCTGGCTCAGTGCCACAGCGCAACCACTGAAGGGTCCTTACTATGGGGGTGGGAGGGGGCTGATCAAAATGCATGTATTTTATGTAATTTGAAAACAGGCTGGTTTTGCAAAGAAACAGAAAAATAGCCCAGTGAGCAGGCTTGTTTCCTTCTCTCTGGGGAGGGTCAGGGACGGAGCACCCAGGACCATCGTTTCAGTGGAAGCGCCTTCCCTGGGATGGGAGCTCGAGGCCACGGAGGGGATCCTCGCTTAACAGCCCTGAGCATTAATGTCTACTCCACCTGACACAGATTTCTGAGTTTTAGTGTCGTCGCCCTTGCTCTAGCTCAGGTGTGACTCACCTGGTTTGGCTGAATGGGGTTGCTGGTGAGGTTGGCATTTAACATTCATTGCAAAACGATTACCACAGTTTCATTAACATCCATCTTTTATTGTTGTACGTTTGTCTAACTAGTGTCGTTTTTTTTTTTCTAACACAGTGCTGGATTCCTAGTAGGTCCACAATAAAGACCTCTCAGATTGTGAGTCCCTTCAGGAGTGAATCTCAGAGGAAACAGTGGGCTTTCAGATGATAACTCCATCTGTTTTCCTTGCCTTTTTCTGCACACGAGGCTGGTGGTACTTTTGCATGTGTAAATTTTGGCCAACCTGGACGACGTGAAGATAAACTTAGTCCTAGTGTCCCTTTACCCGTGGAAAATACAGATGTGCAATCAAAACCCTGTAACATATGTTTGTTTGTCACCAACTCTGAGGGGCAGCCTTGGAAGATCACTGGGGGAAATGCCACACCTGAGCCCTTATAGGGCGGGCGTAGGACTTGCACCCCCTCTAGAGGGTGTCCATTTGGGGATTGAGAGACCCCGAGGTGCATGAGGTGGTGTGGGCAGAAGGGAGTCCCCACTGTGGGGCGCCTCCTAGCTGTTCCCTGGGCCTTTCTCCCCATCTCCGTTCACCCTTCACTGAAGCTGCTGGCTCTCTGCCTTCCCGTCTGTGTGTCACTGCACCTGTCCACCCTTCCTGACTACCTTTTCTCCCTGTCCCCTCAGCCCCATCTCCAGCCTTGATGACTCTGGAGCACACAATTCTGTCCCCTGCAGCCCTGCACAGCTGCTCGTGGGATGCACGGCCTTGTTTGCAGTTTCGTGGACCTGGGTTTGAGCTCAGGCTTTGCCGGGAGCTCGCCAAGCGACCTTACGCAAATCACATTCGTTATCTCCACAGACCCCAGTTTTCTCACCTGGGAGAGGATCTCCTGGGACACTGTAGAATGTGAATTCTAGGAGAGCAAAGACAGTGATAAAACCTGGCATTTCCCACGAGCCAGGGGGGGTGGGATGTCCCCGCCTTGGGGACAGCTCCTCAGCTGGCCTCACGTCTCTGCAGCTCCCCTGACACCTGCCTTGCATGTATCTGTTTCAGGGCTGGGAGAGGGCTCTGCCCTCCTTCATCCGGACAGCAGGTCCCACCCCAGGTCCTTGGAGAAAAGTGCCTGGAGGGCTTTCAAGGAATCCCAGTGTCACCACATGCTCAAACATCTCCACAATGGTGCCAGGATCACTGTGCAGATGCCGCCTGCCATCGAGGGCCACTGGGTGTCCACCGGGTAAGAGGCTGGGGCGGGGGTCCCGGGAGGTCCTGGAGAGCGCACTGCTATGCGGAGCCTTCTTAGGGTTTCTCAGGTGCACAGAGACTTTCTAGAATCTACAGTGATTCTGGGGTTGTCTGAGTTCTAACTCACAACCAAGCGACGCTTTGAAACTCGCGTTGGTGAAGAAACAGAGCTCAGTCCTGTTGAAATCTTAGCCTCAGCAGCGGTGATACGGTACCACTGCGAACCCACATGGGAGTGAATATGTCCTTGTTTATTGAACCCCATAGGACCACTCCTGTATGAAAAGAAACCATTAGCAAGTGAAATTAGGAGTCTGTGTTTCACCAACCCTGAAACACGACTTGCAAGCTTCTGATGGTCTAAATATTCTAGCCATATTCTGGTAACTTAATATACAGCTTCAGGGTCTGAGAGTAAGTTAAAATGTACCCATGCTACCTCAACCAGCCAGGGTGCAGCTCTTGGCTTCTTTTCCAGGCTGTGGAGCTGAGATTTATCCCAGTTTGAGCTCTGGCTTATCTTCCATTAGAGCTTTTAAAAATAGCCCAGAGGCAGACCCGCAATCTCTTCCCTGCCCATTAAATTGTTGCAAATTGACAAGGCTAACGGTGGGATCTGATCACTTCTGTGCAGACCACTCCTCCAGGTACCTTGGGGAGGGATCACAGGCATCCAGAGAAGAGAAAAAAGAAATCTTATGAGGAAGACCTAGCGGTTTTTGGTTTTTGTTTTTTTCCTAAAAATGGGGTTTCTCAAAATAACCGCATGGTCAGTATTGGCACAAACAATCTTAATGCGACGTACTTTTAAATAATTTATCATTTCGTTCAACAAATATTTCTGGAGCTCACAAATATTTACCGCACGCGAGCACTGTTCTAGATTTTGTGCGTATAGCAGCGAACCAAACAGACATTGGCCCCTGTCTTCGGGAATTTTACAAATACACAAAGAAGTGTTACGAAGAGGGAAGAAACAACAGGTGCTCAAGGAGAATACCAGGGCCCCTATTTTAGGACAGGGTGGGGTAGGAAGGGCTACCAAGAAGAGGACACTTGAGCTGAGATGTCCTTGGCTGTGCGAGACCAGGGAAGAGCTTTCCCTGTGGGAGGACTAGCAGAGGCTGGACCAGAGAAGCACGGACAGGAGGCCTTGTTCCGGGGGTGGGGAACAGCCCCAGGCAGGTCAAGAAGGAGGCGGGGCCAGCCCCCAGGGCCCCCTGCACGCCTTGTCTCTTCGAGTTTGGCTTTTAATCTAAGAGAACTGGGACTTCATTGAAGAGATTTCAGCAAGGGCTGATTCAGCTTGACTGAAGGGCGCTCTGGCTGCAAGTGGATGGTGGGAAGAGTGACTTGGGGACACCCAGGGTTCTTGGCCTCCTTAATCCATAGAAATTGATAAGGGGCCAGACAAGAAATTCAGGCCAGGCTTTATTGGGGCCCCTGGTGCAGGAGGGGGAGCAAGAACAAACAACAGGTTCCCTTGCTTGCTTCCCAAGGAAGGGCGAGCCAGTTCCTTGTATGGGGTGAGGGTAGGGGCAGGTCCAGGGGTGGGGCCGGAGGCGTGGCTCAGGCGGTCTGCCCACCCCTTGGTGGTGTTGAGTGCAGGGGGCAGGTGCAGTACCCTGCTTTGCTCCTGACTCCTCAGAAGTGGCAGGTGGCTTTTTGGTCTTCTTGTATCTTGTTATCCATAATTTGCCCCAACTGAGCATGTGCGCAGTTATTTTTAGTCTCTTATAGTTTCTTTGTATTTTGTTGCCCGAGGAGACGTGTGTCCAGGTACAAGCACTGCAGCAAAAGGGTCCCAGGTCCCAAATTGTTTCAACTTGGGGATGACCAACTAAAAGACTCAACAGTCGCGGCTGGAGATGACCAAGGCCTGGGTGAGGGGCGTCGGGGGTGAGGCGATGGAGAAGTGAGTGGGCTTGAGCTTGGGATCAAATCAACAGATTCTCGAGCTGAGATGAAGTGTTAGAAGTCGGCTGTCCTCCTGTCTGAACTACAACAGACGTGAATCGCTGCTCACACGGAAGGACTCCTCTGTCCCTGGGAAGGAACATGGGCTTCCTCTCCCTCCTATCACAGAGACGGATGCTCAGAGCACCACTGGCTGCTGTCTGGGGGTATCTGCGGCAGGTGACAGTCTTTACTAAGCTAATGGTACCCACTTCTAAGTGTCCCATTCATCAGTTTGTAAACTAATAGTAGTCTTGAGAACCACTGGCCTTTGGGATTTCAGTCCCACCGTTTGATTTCACCACTCAGCTCAAACCAGAACTACTGTATCTAATAAGTTTATATATAAATAATAGACACAAGCAGGGTTATAAGGCCAAGACTGATAAGACTGAAGTCTCAGTGTCACTGAGACTAGGATCTGATTAAAGGTGATGAGTGGACAGATTCTTTGCCCAATGCAAGGAAGGAAACCCCCTCATTTCCTGGTGTGGGCCGCGCTGCAGTTGTAAAAATTGATTACAGTTAGACCAGATGAGGAAGGTCCCATCCAGGTGTTTCTGGCCTAGGCATCCAGCCTTTACCTGATGCCACAGCAGAAAACATTTTGCAGACTTCCCTGGTGGCACAGTGGTTAAGAATCCGCCTGCCAATGCAGGGAACACAGGTTCGATCCCTGGTCCGGGAAGATCCCACATGCCGCGGAGCAACAAAGCCCGTGCGCCACAGCTACTGAGCCTGCACTCTAGAGCCCGCAAGCCACAACTGCTGAGCCCACGTGCCACAACTACTGAAGCCTGCGTGCCTAGAGCCTGTGCTCCGCAACAAGAGAAGCCACCGCAATGAGAAGCCCGCGCACCGCAACAAAGAGTAGCCCCCACTCGCCGCAACAGGAGAAAGCCCGCGTGCCACAACGAATACCCAATGCAACCAAAAATAAATAAATAATATTTTTAAAAGATATTAATATTAAAAAAAAAAGAAAACATTCTGCCACTGTCGGCAGCACAACCGAAGGAGCCCTACCTGACTCTTTATTTTCTGCTAGAGGGAAAACTAATTTTGACTGGACAGGGTAAGAGATGAATTTCCAGTGGTCTTCAAGGGGTGCCTCCCTGAGACTAGATTCCGTTCCAGGACGACAGACACCTGGCACCTGGCTGCTGTGGACACGGTCCAGATGATGGAAGTGGTCAGGAAATCAACATCTCTGACAACACAGGGAGCATCTTTCCTAGGCCAGCCCCGCACCCTCCTTCCTCCTTCCCGCCTGGGAGTGAGGCCAAGTGGGGCGCTGAGGATGGCAGGTTCCTGCCCTTCTGTCTTGTCCATAAAGTGAAAGGAGGACAACCCCGGTGTAGAGTGACCGGGAGCACAGGTGCTGGGCCAGGCTCCCCCGGGCTCACATCTGGCTCCAGTGCTGGCTGGTGAGGGGACCTTGGACACATCTCCTCAGCTCTTGTGCCTCAGTTTCCCTATCTGTAAAACAGGACAGTAATAATACCCACCCTTATAGCACAGGGAACTATACTCAATATCTTGTAATAACCTATAATGGAAAAGAATCTGAAAAAGAACAAAACTGAATCACTCTGCTGTATACCTGAAACATTGCAAATCAGCTATGCTTCAGCAACAACAAAAAATAAAGAATAAAGTGATCCTTGGGATGTCAATAATAATAATAATGGTACCCCCCACCCCCCAGCTCATAGGTTGCTGTGCGGGCTCCATGAACTGCCCGGTGTGCCATCCTGTTGTCATTACCGTGGTCTGCTGGCACTGTGATGAGCCTCCTCCTCGTGGCTTTGGGCTCACAGGCGGCTTCCTCCCCCTTTTCTGCAGCTGCGAGGTGCGGGCGGGCCCCGAGTTCATCACCAGGTCCTACCGGTTCTACCACAACAACACGTTCAAGGCCTACCAGTTCTACTACGGCGGCAACCGCTGCACCAGCCCCGCCTACACGCTGGTGGTCCGCGGCAAGATCCGCCTGCGCCAGGCCTCCTGGATCATCCGCGGCGGCACCGAGGCTGACTACCAGCTGCACCGCGTGCAGGTCGTGTGCCACTCAGAGGCCGAGGCGGAGCGGCTCGGTCAGCTGGTCAACCGCACGTGCCCTGGCTTCATGCCTGCCGGGGCTCCCTGGGTGCAGGGCGTGCCCTATGACCTGTGGCGGGAGGAGGGCGGCCGCGAGTGCACCCGGGCCGTGAACTTTGCCATGCACGAGCTGCAGCTGGTCCGCCTGGAGAAGCAGTACCTGCAGCACAACCTGGACCGCCTGGTAGAGGAGCTCTTCCTGGGCGACATCCACACTGACGCCTCCCAGAGGATGTTCTACAGGCCGTCCAGCTACCAGCCCCCGCTGCAGAACGCCAAGGTACCCCTCTGCACCCGGCATAGCCCCTGGGGGGCGGGGCTCTGCATCATGGAGGGGCTGCTGCGGGGGCCGGGGGTGGGAGGGCTGCAGGTTGGGTGGGGGGACAACACATAGCCCAGTCAGGAGGCCCGGGTGGGCCACCGCCTTGCTCTGTGATGGGGCCTCGGTTTTCCTGTTTGATGAGGGTGGTGGTCCTGGGACTGGTGATGCAGAAGAGCCTTGGTGGTCGTCCTCGAAAATTCCTAAGGCTCCCTTCTGCCCGACACTCTGGGAACTTCTGTGAGTCTAAGAGGAAAGCTTGCAGGAAACGTGGAGATGTTCTAACCTACCTGGGAAGATGCCCAGCAGGGATCCTGGCCCTGGGGCCGGGGGCAGGGACAGTGCTGCTGGCCTGGGGCTGTGGACCCTCAGAACCTCCTGTTCCGTCTCCACAACGACCCTGTGAGGCAGTGACGACCACCTCTTAGCAGGAGAGGGGGCAGCTGAGGTGCGAGGGGTGGTCTCCTGCCCAAGGTCACTGGTTGGTGAGTTTCAGGGCTGGAACTTGTACCCAAACCTTTCCCCAGACCCCACTGGACTGTTTGGACCCCAGATCCCACACTCTTCCCATTGGACTAAGTGAGAAATCACTGTGACCCGAGGGGAGGATGGAGGGGCCAGGAAACAATTAAAGCCTTCTAATGTTCTTTTCTTAAATGATAGTCCCCGTAATTACACTTGGAATTCTCCAGGCATTTCCTTCCCGCGGGCTCAGAGTCCGTGTCTGCATGTAACAGGGTCATTACCACCGCAGAAGCTGGGGAGGCAGGAAGGGGGGCCTGGGGGGCAGCGGCTTTCTCCCCAGTGTCGCCCACCATCAGACCGGCTTTTCTGGAATCCTTTCTAGAACAGCAACTCTCCAGTTGCAGGGCTTGTCCAACTTTTGTTTGGTGGTCTCTTTGTTTTTGAAGCATCTGTTTTCTTCTCAGTCCTTGGAGCGCACTCATGCCTGGTGAGGGTACTGCTGGTACTGGCCCCGCCGGACCACTCGGTTGTCTTCTTTCTGTCTGTTACCGCGAGCTTGTGTCGTGAAAGTTGCCTTTATGATGACTGTGGGGCGTCTGCCAGGAGGCCGAGCGGGCAGGGAGGCTTCCTCTGGATGCGCATCTCAGGGACACCCCCTCCCTGTGCCGAGGGAACGCTGGGCTCTGTGCAGACCCCGGCCAGGTCCGCTGTGCTGTGCCCTGCGCGTTCTAGAGGCCCCAGGTGAGGCGGGGCTGCGAGGGAGAGGGTGGCCCTCCTGCCCCGGGGACCCCAGGCGTCCTCGCAGGGAGAGGGCGGGCAGTGGGCTCTGCCTGCTTCACAGCCGATGCAGAGGCACCAGGACGGGACTCTGCCTAGGGGCGACCAGGGCGAGGGCCCGGCTTCTGGGAAACGGAGGAACCGTCGAGGGACCTTTGTAGGTGGCCGCCTTATCCAGACGCTGCAGCTTAATGACGCTTCTCTCCAAACTCCTGGTGTCAGGTGGCAGCGGGAACGGGATTTTCAGACGTGCATCTGGCTTCCTTTGAGCACAGTCGAGCCAACGTTCACATTATCTCCGGGAGTAAGGGTGTCGTGAGTGAAAACGGTCTGCAGCTCATCCAGAAACCCCATGGGAGCCAGAGCCCTGACCCAGCCTGGCCTGAGCCTGTGGGAGGATCCTCCCAGGAGCAGAGCCTTCATCCCTGCTCACCTTCCAGCGAGGGTGCTGGTGAGTAGCGTGGCCAGGGCCCAGGAAGGAGAGAGGAGGCTGGATGGAGGCCCCCTGCCCAGAGGAAGCAGCAGACAGCCTGGACCAGCTGGCTTCCACTCTGAACCTGACCTTGGGCTGTTGGTGCACGTTGTCGGGTCCAGACTCCGTCTCCTCACCTGCGGATGCCCACGTGGGCTCTTTGATCTCTTGAGCTCTCCTTAGGCCTGGAAAAGAGAGGAGTACCCAGAGCCACCTTTCTTGTCTTACCTCCGTCTCTGCCCCTCCTCTCACTCCCATTTTCTCTTCCCTCCTCTGCAGGGGCAGTTGTGGGACCGTCTCCCCAGATTCTTAAGAAGTAAACTCTTTAAACCCTAGGCCACAATCCCTCATTCAAGAAAAGAAATATTAAGGGTGGAAAGAACCTTGGATCTTGGAGATTATCCAGGACACACTGTTAAGCTTTTTTTTTTTTTCAAGGAAGGTACAGAATAGCACGAACAGTGTGATGCCACGTGTAAAGCTAGTAATAAAAGAAGAAGGTAAGCTGATCCAGGAGCCAGTGTTTCTGCAGTGGAACAGCGATGGCCTCAGAGGAGGGGGACAGTGTGGCCGGGGGAAAGATACTTGTCACCGTGAACGTTTTTGTACCTGCTGCGATTTGTGCCGTGATCTTATACTACCCAAACTCCATCACCACACTCAAAACAGATTCCAAAAACGCAGGATTCTGAGGCTCGGAGGAACGCTGTGGCCACAGATGAAGCCAGTGAAGAGGCTGGGCGGACGCAGGCCGGCGTCCAGGACCTGGCCTGCGCTCTCCCCCGAAGGCCGGCCCAGGTCCGCGTGGCTCTGGGAGCTGAAAGGACCCATTCTTCTCCTGTTGTCCCTGGCGTGTGCATCCTGGCCTGCAGTGAGCAAGCAGTCAGGAAGTTTTGAGATCCCTCCCCAGGCCGGCTAGGAGAAGGGATCAGTGGACTTGGCCGCTTGTGCCTTTCCAGAGCCCCAGGTGCTGCCTGCCCGCTGGGCTCCCGCAGACCCGCCCACCCACCCCCCGGGAAGGAGGAGGGCTGGGGGGCGCATCCGGACAGACCACAGGCCTCGCCACCCGCTCTGAACCCTTCACCTTCCCTAATCGCTGGTCCGTAGAGACCTGGCTGAAAATTAGTTTAAATGCTAAATTGAGTTTAAAACCGCTAGTCTCAGCCCCTCTGGAAACGGGACACCATGTAAAAATAGAGATTTTAAATCAACTTGATTTTCTAAGCTTTATACAGCTTTGCTGTGAGGTTCAGAGCCCTTCGGCAAAAAAAAAATGATGTTTGAAGAGAATCAGGTGAGCTGGGAGGATTCTTTCAGGATGAAGTTGGCTACTCTTCATTAAAAAAACAGGACCCCCTAGAATAACCCTGAAAGAAGATGCTTTGCTTGAATCGAGTTTAGCATCAGGGCAGCCCTTACCCTCTGCCTGGATTCCTGTGTGGTGGAGGGTTAGCCAGGTGCTCTCTTTCCTTGGCAGAATCAAAAGTAATTAAGAGCAAATGATTGCTGGGGTCATTGGAAATGCCAGGGCCTCAGGATCATACTTGCAAGCAAGCAGAATTGGTCTTTTTCCAAAACCCTGCACTGATGAGGCCACAGGGCCGTAAATCAAAGGGCTTGCCTGCAAACCAGACCACTCTCCCCAAGCCATGTTTCTGAGATAGCCTGCCTGGAACGCTGATAGTGGGGCTGCCCGTCGGAGGCGGAAACACAGCAGAGTGCTTTGGGGGTGCCGGACCGCTGGGAGGAAGCAGGGCTACTCGTGTGCTTTCTCTCCTAAGTTCCCTGCAGGCCTCTGGACTGTGAACAGTCGTTTGTTTTTGAGGGAGCTTGTCTTTCCAAGCCTCCTCAGAGCATGTGAGAAATAGAGATCTATGGTGACATCTGTGACGTCCGAGGGACTTTGGACCACGTGGCTGTGGACATCGGAGTTTCCGCCCAGCTCCAGGAGGCAGCTCTGCAGCAGGAAGGGGTCTCTCCTTAGGCATGTGGTTGCTGTGGCTCCCGGCGGGGTGGGTAAGTGGGTGCCACAGGTGCACGAGTAGAAGTTATCCAGAAGCTCACGGAGGAGTCACTGTCCCTGCTCGTTCTGTCAGTGCAGGGCTAAGAGAAGAGGGTTTTGCGGAGGTGATGGTAGTCAGAAGAGGTGGTAGAGGGCCAGGGCCTTCAAGGAGTCATGACCGAGACAGTGTCAGAAGCCCACCTTATGTTCAAGCAGTATGCCCCTTACAGAAAACCGTGACCCTGACCCCAGGGCCGGGTGTTCACTGCCAGGCCACACGTGCTGCCCACAGGATGAAAAAAGAGCCGGCGATGGGGGTCGGATGATGGGTTCTGGCCTCCGAGAGGCTTGCTCACGTGGACATTTTATTTGGGTCGAAATAAGAAGAGTCACACGATTGCCACACTGCACAGCTACTGGCCTCTGCTGTGAGTGCAGAAACAGTTCATTATTTTTCTTGATTCCTGAGTGCAAGATTTTTATTTAAGGAGTCAGCAGACCAGGAAGTCGTTGTTGTCAGGGACAATGCAAGGCAAGGGGTAAACGTTTCATCCCTTAAAAGTCCAGAAGCTGAGAGGACAGCGTGAACGCCTGGGCGGCAGGAAATCGACCATTGGAGAGTCTGGGTCAAGTCCTGTGTGCGGGGCATTGGCCGAGCACTGTGGGCGGAGGGCAGGGGAGAAGGGGGCCAAACGTGGGGTCTGCTGCCTTTACAGCCAATGTGATTATGACGATGAGTCTCCTTCAACTCTTTAAATGCGTTTAAATTAATAGGAGGGGAAGAAACAATCAAACAAGTAAAACTTAATCAGCATTTTCTTCTGAAACCATTCTTACGGTCATTTGTATTGAAGAACCACCTTCTTATGGTCCTTTTATCGAGCTCTGGGCTCTGTGCAAAGTGTGTATGTACAGGCAAGGGGGAGATGAAATTATCTTTTATGTGATTTACAGGAAAGGCCTTTGGGAGCTCACATCTCAGAGTCTAAACTTCATGGAAATCCCATTTCTAGAAAATGCAGTGCTGCTCCCGGCCACCCACCGATGCTCCATTTTCCCTCCAGGAAGCGGTGTTCTGTCGGTTCCTCTCGCAGAAGACCTGGCAGCCAAACGCAGGCCCCGAGGAACCGGCCGTGCCTCTCTTACCCTTTTCCGTCGTCCTTCCAGCCCGGGCCCCTCTGTGGTGGTTGCATCACAGCTACAGGGTTGCTGTGCAGAGTCCTTGTGAGGCTAAGTCCTTCTGTC